CCGCGTAGGGACGGCTTCAGGGCCCGTGGGCGCGTGTGTGTGATGATGATGGCGAGGGATGGTGGTGACGACGATGGTTACAATGGGTGATGATGCTGGTGATTGTGATTAAGTTTGCAAGCGTGGTGGTGATGCTGATGGTGATGGTACTGCTGCTGCTGTTGATGATGATTTTGATGATTTGTGTAGGACGAGAAGGGACAGGTGGAGCAGGAGGAGGATCGGCTGGGGCAGACCCAGAGGTACAACGGCGAAGTGTACAATTTCCGCGAATTGCAGGCGGAACTCGGGCTTGACCGCGTGCGGAGCGATGGCGAGGTCCCCTTGGGCTCACAACGGGGTGTTGGCGGCTCGTATTCGATTTCTTTCTCCGATCTTGCGTCTAGGTTGTCCTCGATGCTGTTTCGCCTCCCCCTCGCCTCTTTCTCTTCTCTTCCAACCCCTCCTCTTCTCCCCCCCATCCCGATCTAGTAATCGGGGAACCGTTTTGGGCGTTGTGGCCACGGCACTTGTTCAGGTGAGCGGTGGAATGTACGGTAGGCTCGTGTCGTGTCGACGAGGCAGCGATCCCGCAGCGGGCGTCCAGGGTTGAATGCCGCAGGTGGCCCAGGACCGACCAAAATGGAACGATCTGGCGATCCATGCTGTGTCAGAAGCCAACGCCAGGATCGTCACGACACGAACCTGCCGTACAGGTGATTTTGCATAGCCTTCAGGTTGTTATGCCCATGTATGAGCGGCATGGGCCGTCCTTCCCAAGGAAGTTTGACGGCGAGTTCGCGGTTGCAATTTTCGACCTTCCCAGGAGGCTGGCAGTGCTGGCCACCGACATTTTCTCGACCAAGCCTTTATGGTACTCCAGACATGGGGGCCTGCGAGTTGCTACTTATCGGGGGGCCCCAATAAGGCTACTTCCATCCCCCAGGAGGAAGGGAAATTTGGGAGGGAGAAGCAGGACAATGAGAGGGAAGAGGGGAAGGCTTGGACAGGTGAGAGGGGGACGGTGGAGAAGATGCCTTTCCTGGGGTCCCCGCTGTCGAAGTGGAGTGGAGCGCTTGGGGGCGCCGAGGAAGACGATCCGCATGATGGATCCAAACACGGTGATGGTATTCGGGCTCGATGTTCCTCATAATGCAGCGGCAGTTCCCGTGATTGCCCGCCTGTCTGTCCACGAGTTTGACCTCAGGCAGTTTAAGACTGATACGGGCGACTTCTTGCGCGCGTTCGAGCAAGCTGTTGCGAAGCGAATGCGTTCGAACCACCCTGCTTTCATTGGCCTTTCTTCTGGCTATGACAGTGGTGCTATTCAGGTCGCATTGCAGCGTTTGGGGCACCGACATGCGTCATACACGATATTTTCAACAGAGGACATACCAACAATAAAGGAACGCCTCAAGTGGACTGGAGAATTGGTGGAGCCTCATGTAATACAGCTCGGTGAGGAGGATCGTGCGAAGGAGGAGCAATTTTTGCGAGACAGTTGCGAATACTTCCCGTTCTCGGGCATTGGGCGACTGGGCTCGATCGCCGACGATCCAGCTGCCCATGGCCTCTCCTACATCTTTCGCCATGCCAGGCAACGGGGCTTCCTGGTCTACATGTCTGGCACGGGAGCCGACGAGGTGATCTCGGATTATGGCTTTGCCGGGAAGAAGTTCTTTCCACATTCAAATTTCGGCGGACTCTTCCCAGAGGACATGGGCAGCCTCTTCCCCTGGGAGTCGCTGCTTCTCGGCACCCAGCGGGACTATCTCATGAAGGAGGAGCTGGTTGCGGGGTCCCACGGGATCGAGTCGCGCTACCCCTTCCTGGACCGCCTTGTTGTTCAAGAGTACATCTGGCTCTCCGCCTCGGCCAAGAACTCGCGCTACAAAGCTCCGCTGCACGAGCTGCTGGAGGGTGCTGGATACCCGTTCATAGCCGGGGAGAAGGTTCGGGTGTTGCTAGAAGTACCCCTGGCCCAAGGTTCCCCCAGGATTCTCGGGGTGGCCCAGACGGCCTCCAGGGCACCCCTCACGAGGCCCAGAGGGCCCCAGGGGCTCCAACATGGAGCGAAAAGCCGGGGGCACCTTGGGCCAGGGGCACTTCTAGTAACACCCGGAAGGTGGGGTTCAATGCCGACTGGAACGTGAGGGAGGGTGGAACAACGTTGGTGCTCGGGGGGCAAGAAGACACCGCTGCCGCTGCTTCCCGACCTCTCTCCCGGGCTGCGTTCTGACCAGGACCTCGAGGAGCGCTTCGCCGGGGCGAACGAGGGCTCTCCCGGGCGAGCAGCGATATTGACCCTGAGAGCCAGCTACGCTCTGGGCGCCCGAAATGGGTACGGAAAGAATGGGCACGATGCCCAACAGCAGTTCCTGTTCATCTTGGACAGGGCTCGCTGTCCGCGCCGCCGCGGCCTGTGTCCATTCGAGACAGGAGGCCGCCTGCCCAACAGCGGCCGCTGTTGCTTTGGGACGACATTTGTTGTTGGGCACTGTGCCCATCTTTTCCGTACCCATTTCGGGCGTCCAAATACGTGGCAACATGGCAGCACCGAGAGCCGTGGCGACCAGAGCGTCTGGCCCCGATCGTTCTGCAGCGCCCCTCTCGGGCCGCAGCGATCCGTGCTGGCCCCGAGGCCCGAGGCCGGGCGGAGGCGCCCGGCGTGGGAAGGGGTGCAGCGCCCGTATCTCAGGGGCTGTCTGGAGCTTCGTATCGCAGGCCTAGAGGTTGACACCAACACCAAGATCGGCGGTGTTCATCCACCGAGGGAGGAAGATCCCGATCTCGGCGGTGGTGGCAATATTCTGGCTTCCAAGGTGGCCGAAATACTACCACCAACACCGAAATCTAGGATCACCTCCCCCCTGTGGAGGCAGCCCTCTGTCTTGGTGTTGGTGCCCATTTCCAGGCCTCCCATCGTAGCAGAATCAAAGGAGGAAAGCCACTGGGACCCGACAGCTGGCGTTTCCCACACGGCCCGGGTCGTTCCCTGAACAGCCCTGCCCTCTTAGATTCCTCCTTTGGGTGCGTTTGCTGAACGGCTTCGCGTGTCGGGGTGATTCTTAGGAGGGTGGATTTCTCCTGCCCTCAAAAAGAGGATTCGGGGGGTTGACAGAAACCCCAACAGTGACACGTCGATCAGTGGATTGTCCGTTTCCAGTTCTCGAGAGGGCGCCGCGGCCGTTATTTTCCAGGCTTGCGCCCGCCAAGTTTGGGCCTCAGGTCGTTTTCACTAAACCACGTTTTACTAAAGGGAGGTCTGTTCATCCCCGAAGGCTGGGGGCTGCTTTGAGGGGGTTCCGGTTTGAGCTGTCCTGGAGGGTTCCAGGGGAGGCTGGGCAGGAGGCCGCCCTCTCATGGCTGGGCTGGGGAGGGTCTGGAACTGCTCGTCCGGGAGGGCTGTGCCCCCCCCCTTCCTTGTGACATCTGGAGTATCTTTTACCAGCCTCGAACGTATCCCTATCCCTAAGATTGACACGCCAAAAGGCGATGACAATCTTAGGGATTCGCTCTCAAAAAATAAGGGAATCCATAAGATTGGCATCGTGATGAGGAGGTGCCCAGCATATGGATATGGATATGTTCCAGGCTGGTAAATCTTGTCTTTTTCGGCGACTGCAAAGCGCGTGGTTACGCCAGGGTGTGGTTTGCGACCGGCGCCGTCGGGTCTTCGGGGGGATTGCCACGCTGCCCTCGTCGGGCCTCCTCGGGGCCTCCTCGGGGCGCGGCGGAGCACTCTGCCCAGGTCCTCGCCCGCCCCCTGGGGCGCGGACTGCAAACCGCGCCCTCTGCGGACCACACCCCTCGGAGTTGCCGACCCTGATCGGCGGCGAGCGGGGGGGGGGGGAAGTGAGAAGGAAAAGGCCTTCTCAGAGGGCTCGGAAGTCCGCCGGCCTTCCGAGCAGTCTTCTTGGCCTTCCCCGCCGACGCAGAACGCCTCTCGGAAGGTCGGAGAAGCCTGAGACGGCCCTCTCCTCCTCACTCCCCCCCTCGCTCGCCGCCGACCCGAGGTGTGGACCACCACGCCCCCGCCCAGCCCCGGGCGCGCCCCGCGCGGTGCGGCCGGGAGCCCGCCCGGCGCCCTCCCCAACGGCGGGCTCGAGGGGCGCGAGGCCGCGGCGGCCGCGGCGCAGCGGGCGGTGGGCCTCCGCACCGACGGCCTGGCGCTCCGCGAGGGCCGCCTCAGCGCCGCGACGGAGGATCGGCCTCGCCTAAGCGAGGAGGAGGAGGAGGAGGAGGAGGA